CCCGCTCCCAGCCCCGACGTCCTCAGCAAGCCGACTACGTCATGCAGGTGGCGTGGGAACGAAGAGGTGACTAACCCGTTGTGACACTGTACATAATTGACGATTTCGTTCCCTATGCCAATATATTGACCTGATGATCAATGGCCGAAAACATCTGTTTGCCAATCTTACTTTTCAAGTTAAATGCTTTTTGAAGATTCCTTCCAGGCGCTGATTCGAAGGCTCTGTTATAATACGCCCCCCTCTCCCATTGTCTCGTTGGAAAATACGCCAAGAGGAAAACACTGACACAAATGTCAAACATTGTATTCACAGCGCAGTGGGTCCTGACCTACTGGTTACCTTCTCTTGAAGCATTTGTCCAAAGCTGGGTTGATGGTTTACTGAAAACCTTTGAATACCTGGTATCTTATATTTCGTCAAAAATAAAGTTAGTGCCCTATGGGGCAACCATGCCCGAATGTAGTGAGTCCACCCTCTGGCTCATCAGAAGAGTAAAAAGTAAGGATAGACAATATGCGAAGGCCTCCATACAGTGGACGTTCTAGGTATAGAAGTAGATACGATCGCTGTAACAAGAATTCGACTGCCCTCAAGTTTCTGATTCGTACCCGAACCCGTTTCTGGGTAGGTTAGCGTTCATAAAACACTCCAGCAGGCCAACTAGGCCGAGGGGACAACCCGTCTCGAAATATATGTGTTAGCATAAAGTCTGTCTATTCAGAAAGTTGTCTAAAAACAATGCCAGGGTGTTCCGGTGTCAAGTAGAATTAAACGGAGGAAACAACAGCTGTTCCTGCTCAGGGAGCACGACCAACAACTGCTCACAAAATGCATCTATCCTACTTATTTTTTTTTCAAAAGCGCTTTACCCGTGTATGATCATAACTCCGTTTCACATCCTAACGGAAAATCAAAATACAAAACCAAACACACAAGCAAGTCACACAAAAGCAGGCACCCTTGGAGTTTCCTCTGCTTCCAAAACAGGTCCTGGAGTCTGGCACAAAAGCAGGTCAATCGGTGTACTATCTATGCGCTTTTAAGTCCGCTTGTTCAGCCCTTTGTCCACAGTTTTTGAATGCGGGAAGCACGCGCGTCTGTGAATGCGACTACAGCCGACTGGGAGAGCGATGCAAAATCAGGACACACACTACGGACAGCGACCTCCAGCAAATAGTCGGACTAGATACCTAATTTAGTTGGAAAGTGACGCAAGTTCAATGGGAAGGACAAGGGTTCATGTAGCACGAAAGCACATCCCCGGAAACATTGTCAAATTTGCCAATAGACGTAAATATGCGAGTTCCAGGAAGCGGTTCAGAAGAAGAAGACGCGACCATTGGAACAAGACCTTTATTCTCCTGACGTTTCGGGAATCTTTTTTCATAGGTAATGGTAGCATAGTCTGAGTCATGCGCATGACTCAGACTATGCTACCATTACCTATGACTAAGGATTTCCGAAACGTCAGGAAAATAAAGCTCTTGTTCCAGTGGTCGCGTCTTCTTCTTCTGAATTGTCAAATTTATCATTTTCTTCCTTCTCAGAACACAGAAGACATTGGCTAACGGACAGGAATACAACACAACACACATTTAAAATGCTTTAGGTATCATAAAAAGGCACTGCCGAAGCGTCTTCATTGGTTTCGCAGATCGATAGGAACCTAGCTAGGGCAAGTCAACTGACCAAAGAACAACTAAGCAGAGATGAAGAATCGTATGAAGGTAGTAGATTACGTGTCGCAACCTACAACTACGTAGAACAGACTGTAAGACTGAACTCACGGAGCACAAACAAGCGATGATTTGCGGCCTCGAGTTGCCACGCACCCTGGGGGCAGGTCATGGGCTTAGCGGCACAGGCACGGTGAAAATCGAGAAAATAGGCAACAGGGGAAGCTCAAGGGCACTTAGGACTTGGGCCAATGATATAAATCTTACAGGCCGGTACATTGACCTCGCACCTACTCATAAGCCATTATTTTCATGGTCAGGTGGCGTGACTCCGTTTTTTGCCAACAAATCTCGACTATGTATGAAAAAGCCGCACATTAGTTTTTTGACGCTTCTGTGGGCAGGTCCGAAAACTGGACAATTGGGGTAAACAACCTCTTTCCTGATTTCCAACAGGAAACTGGAGCCCTCATTTTCATCACTACACAAAAAGAGTGTCTCAACACAAACGCTAGGAACCTAAGTAGAAAAGAACCTAATAAAAAAACATAGTGAAGAGGATCCATCCTCTTTCGCAG